ACCCTTCAGTGTTGCCCCTGTACCGGACCGGGGACCGGCAACGGGATTGCAACCCTCGGTGTTGCTCCTGCGCCTCACTCAGCCAGTGAGCGGGAACCGGTCTGTATGTGGGATCCGAACCCTCGGGCAGGAGCGCCCGCCGCGCTTCCCAAGCGGCGCACTTATCCAGTGCGCCACCGGGCCGGCCCCAAATATCAATCTTTTTTTTTTTTTGTCTTTTGTCTTTTTCCGTGTCCGGCAACGGATCGCACCCTTCAGTGTTGCCCCTGTACCGGACCGGGGACCGGCAACGGGATTGCAACCCTCGGTGTTGCTCCCGCGCCTCGCTCAGCCAGTGAGCGGGAACCGGTCTGTATGTGGGATCCGAACCCTCGGGCGGGAGCGCCGCCGTGATAGTGCGCCACCGGGCCGGCCCAAAATTTATCAAATTTAATCATTTTCAGTTAAAAGTAACTGGTAGAGATTCTGCTAATGGTAGAGGGGTTTTCGCATGTGAAAAGGCATAGGATTTACTATGTGTTCACGATTTTATATAGAGAGACTCATCTCAAAAGAAAGTTATGATTTTTGCAAATCACTTGATAGTTAATATTGTAGGGGGATTTTAATTTTAAAGGAACACTGTGATAAGTTATTTATAATTTCTTCTTGGTTTTATTCACTTTTTTCTTTTTTCTTTCATTATATGGAGGATAGTTGTAGGATGAAACTTTTAGAGTAATGGACAGAAAAAGGAAAAAAAATCTCTGTGGTTAGTAAATGTAATGATAACTTTTGAATATTTTAAGGCGAATATTTTTCATTTTACTATTACATACAGGGTACATTTACCTCTGGCACATGGGAAGAGAAATCAGATGAAATTTCCTTTGCTGACTTCAAGTTCTCAGTCACTCATCATTATCTTGTACAGGAGTCCACTGACAAAGAAGGAAAAGATGAATTATTAGAAGGTAAGTTTTTAGTACATATTTTTTAACTTGACTTTTAAGAGTGGTTATAATTTCGAATTATGAATTAAGTTCTATTAATTCAGTAGTATCCTCTGAAAATGTTTTGTATGTGCAAAGTTATTTCACCACATCTGAAGTGGAATATGAGATAGTGCTGCATCTGAAGCAGAGAAAGAATGCAGTGCTATTCATTTTAAAATTAATTAAATCAGCACATATTTATTGAGTACCTAACATTTATTAGATACTCTAAGTCCTGTTGAACCCAAACTTAAATGAAACTTACATTCCAGTAGGGGAGATAAGATTTATAAGTAACAGTAATAGGACGTAGAAAGTGGTAAATGGCATCCTCAAATACAGATAAACTTCTGGAGTTCAGAGGAAAAAAGATCACTTTTAAACGGGTCGATCAGAGAAGGTGTTTTGGAGAATTAAGCAAGTGAGCTGGGCTTGGGAGGATTACAAATAAAGGAAAATTTATCTATTGATTATCCAGATGTTTGGAGTCAGACCAACTAAATTAAAAGTGTTTTTACTTGCAAGTTACTTGACCTTTCTAAGCTTCAGTTATCTCATTTGTAAAATGAAGTAATACTATCTGGAGGGTTAATGTGAAGATTTAATGAGATATTATATGTAAGTAACTATCTCAGTACCTGGCCCATGCTATGTATGCAGTAATTGGTGCTTGTAATTGTTAATAAGTCGAATTGTCCATAATCTTCCTTCTTGAGATATAGTAGTAGGTAACAGTGAGTGAGCAAGGTATTGAATAAACATGAATTTCAGAGCTATCAATCAAATACCTTTTTTTATTTACTCAGCAAATAAATAGACAGAATGGGTGTTAAAGTTTTTCTGGTCAAAAAAGATTATCATTTGCAAGCATGGGCTTGAAATATCTGTGCCTTCTCTGGTGTGGGAATAGAATTATATTACGTTTTCTATTATATATTTATTCTTCTAACAAACAAAACATCTGTATTCAGATTCATGATGAGGACAGATAACATTGGCCATGTATACACTTATGTAAGACAGTTATACAGCAAAATAAAATAAACCATAGGAATATGTGTACTTTAGGAATAAGGGGAAGAGGGAAATGCGCGCAACTGTTGGGAGGTCTGATAATAGCCCAGGGATTTCCAGGTTCGCCATTCTGCTGATTAATGAAGGAAACTATTCGAGATAGAGAAATTTTAAGTGGTGTTAATTTGAGGAAACATATACATCAGGGAAAAGCTGTTGTAGTAAGGAGGCTTAGGATCAGTGTTTCTGAGATAAACAGGTGAAGGGGACTATGGTATAAGAGATGAATGAATTTAAGATTGTTAAGGCATTGTTGCATGTGTGTACTGTGTAGTGGTTTTAACGTGGTTGTGATTGAAGCTGTAACTGATGGTAGAAGCAACCCATCAGCTCAGTTAATTTAGAGATATGCATTTAAAACTCTTATCAGAGGTCAGGGATTTGATGACTGACCATTTACTTTGGTGGAGTTGCTTATTGCTTCTGGTTATGTAGAACGTCAAGTCATTAACGTTCTCCTATTTACTGTTTTAGCAAATTAAAAAATATAAATTTGCTAAGCAATTATAGCTATACAATAAAGGTAAATCTTTTTATGAACAGATATTCTTTATGCTTTGAATTTATTGTGTGTTTGTGAGTATAATGATCGTTGATATTAGTGTCTTTTATGGATAGTAATTTAAGTCCGTAAATATGCATGGGTTAGATGTGACAATCTGGGTAGAGGTTTTACAAGAACATTTAAGATGGCTGGGGACCAAAAAAAGCTAACTTGGCAATAGTTAGGCAATATGGAGTTAACAGATCTCTAAGTAAAATTTTGAAGAAAAGTAGAGACAAGGGCAGGCCAAGAAGAAAAAATAAAACAAGGCTTTCTAGTAAGGGTGAGCAATTGTTTGAATTGTGACTTAGAAGCAAAAAAATATTATAAATGTGGGAGTGGTATATATCTTCTTTACAGACTGGTTTCGTTTGACGAAAGGAGAGGGTTAAAGAGAGAGAGAGAAATATCCCCTACCCTGATTCTTAGAGCTAGCTTTAGATAGAAATCTGAAAGCAATAGCAAAACTACTTGGGCTAGGAAGACATGTGTTTCCTCAAAGCATATTATAAAACTGTGCCTGAGAATGAATATACTAACTTGTTCATTATCACGTGTTTTTGTAGATGCAATTCCACAGTCTATGCAAGATTTGTTGTGTATGAATAATGATTTTCCTCCAAGAGCACATTGCCTAGTAAGATGGTACGTATATATTTTATTCAGATATCTTTTAGTATGTGTGTTGGGGAGGCTGCAAGACCACCCCAGGTTCAGTGATTTGCCAAGAAGACTCATAGGACTCAGCATATAGTTGTATTTATGGCTGATTTTTACAGCGACAGTACACAAAGCAAAATCAGCAAAGGGAAAAGGCACATGAGGCAAAGTGCACAGGAAGTGCAAGCTTTTTAAGGGTCCTTTCCTAATGGAGTCACACAGGATGTACTCAGTTCCCTCAGCTCCAAGTTGTGATAACACATGTGAAACATTGTCAGGGAAGCTTGGTAGAGGCTCAGCCCACAAAGCTTGTAATTGGGAGCTGGTCATGTAGGCACCGTCTGTCTGGCACATACCAAAATTTCAGACTCCTAGAAGGAAAGCACATGTTTAGCATAAACCACATTGTTTGCGTCAACAGTTTAGGCACAGTGAGTAACTTTTTATCAGTTCTGGGAATGGTGAGAACCCTTCCCAATTCCAGATTCCCAGATGCCAGCCAAGAGCCAACCTTACAAGCAGGCTTTTCTAAGGATAGTAATCACAGGCCTGCTGTTAACACTTTTCTGTAAAGTATGTTTGATAATCTAGGGTAGTGCCTAACTATAATTCTGATGGCTGCCATAGAACACTTAAATACTGTAGAAAATGTAATACATATTCCTGGAAATTGAATTGAAATAAAATGTTTATCTCAAACAGTTATGTGATAAAATAAAAGCTCACTTGTGTTTAAACTGTAATGTGATACATTAATGATAGAGGTACCGTAGTCCCCCCTTATCTGTGGTTTTGCCTTCTGCAGTTTCAGTTACCCTTGGTCAACCACGGTCCAAAAATATTAAATGGAAAATTTCAGAAATAAACAATTCATAAGTTTTAAATTGTGTGCTGTTCTGAGTAGTGTGATGAAATCTCACACCATCTGCCCGGGAGGTGAATCATCCCTTTGTCCAGTGTATCCACACTGTATTTGCTACCTGCCTGTTAGTTACAAGAAGGAGAAGGGTGAGTATAGTACAGTAAGATATTCTTAGAGAGAGAGAGAGACCACATTCATATAACTTTTTTTTACAGTGTATTGTTACAATTGTTCTATTTTATTATTAGTTGTTATTGTTAATCTCTTATTGTGCCTAATTTATTTATAAGTTAAATTTTATCATAGTTAAGCATGTATAGGAAAAAAACAGTATGTACAGAGTTTGGTACTATTTGACTGGGGGTCTTGGAGCATATCCCTTGTGGATAAGGAAGGACTACTGTACATTGCATTTAAAAGGTCTCTTCCATTTTTTTTCAGTTATTCAAAGTGTCTCTGAACTTTATTTTGTATGGGGTAGTGTTAAAACATACTACCACCATATGACCCTAGTGTAAGTATATGATTAAGAGAGGAGACCTAATTAAAGGACGTTTATATACTGGTTTTAAATTATTCCATTGGTGTGAGTTGGTCTTTTGATTTTTTATTAAAGAAGAATTTCTAAGGGAAGGGAAAATGATAATATTTGTGTTTATTTTTTCTTCATTTCATTTTGATTGCTATAACAAATAGACTATAGTACTTAGTACATTATAGAACTATAGTACAAGTAGCAAATTAAAAAAAAATTATTTGCAAGTGTAGGTAAATTGGATAATGTTCCATAAATATTCCTGTTGTTTTAGTATGATCTTTTAAAAATTGTGAACTTAACTAAAAAGGGAATTTAATCCTTCCAGATACTCTTCTGATCTTTTAAAATACAAGTACATACATTTAATATGACTAAATATATCAGAAGGTAGCATGGTATCATAGAGCATAGGCTTTGAATACATTCATTCATTCAACATTAATTGAACACATACTGTTGGACCTGACACTGGTTAGTTTTAATTCATAGCTCAGGCATTTAACTGTTCAACTTTGGGTAAGTTGCTTAATTTCTTGATTTGTTTATACACTGGTAAAGTCAGAATAATGAATACTATGCGTGTTTAAGATAGTTGTGAGGATTAATTAAGATAATGGAACTTAATAGGTTTATCAAAATCCAAATGCTGTTGCGGAATTTCTGTTCAGCTTTTTAATATATATTTCCCAAAACTGTGTTTGGTACATAGTCTGTGGTTAAAAATATTTGTTGAATGAATAAATTAAACCTTTCTATGTATTAATATAAATCACTTTTTTAAGGCTTTTTTTTAACCTTTCCATTTACTTTTTTAAACTTTTATTTTTTAAGTTAACATAAAGTAAAATTGGCCTTTGGGGGGGAGTGAACAGTTCTCTGAACTTTAGCACATGTATAATTGTTTTCCTTCTACCAAAATCAGGGCATGGAACAGTTCTGTAACCCCCCAAAAACCTCTTTTGTCTCAATAGTCACATTCTCCCCACATCATTATAATTCCTGGAATCACTAATTTGTTCTTGGTCACTGTAGTTCTGTCCTTTCAAGAGCATTATATGAATGGAACTATACAGTATGTAATCATTTGAGACTGGCTTCTTTTATTCAACACGGCGCCTTTGAGATTTGTCTTTTGAAGTAATTCAGTATATCAATAGTTTGTTCCTTTTTACTGCTGAGTAGTATTTTATTGTAAGGATATACCATAGTTTGTTTACTCATTTATTCCTTGAGAGATGTTAGGATTGTTCCTAGGTTTTGGCATTTATTAGCTACTATAAATATTTGTGTACAGATTTTTCTATGAAAATAACATTTTCAGTTCACTTGGGTAAGTACCTAGATCGGGATTGCTAAGTCATATGGTAAATGTATGTTTAACTTTGTAAGGAACTGCCAAACTGACTTTCAGAGTAGGTGTACCATTTTGCATTCCCACCAACAATGTATGAGAATTCCAGTTGTTCTACATCCTTACCAGTATTAGGTATTGTCAGTATTTTTTATTTTAGCCATTCTAAGAGGTATGTAGTAAAATCTCATTCAAATTTAAATTTTAATTGTGAACATCCTTTATGTGTTTATTTGTTCATTATATATTCTTTATGTTAAAGTGTGTTCAAGTCTTTTGTACACTTTTTAATGGGGTCATTTGTTTTCTCACTGTTGACTTTTAAGAGTTCTTTATATATTCTGGGTATAAATCCTTTTTAGAGTGTGTTATTTGCTAATAGTTTCTCCCAGACTATAGCTAAGCTTTTTGTTCTCTTAGCAATGTCTTTTCTAGAACAAAAGTTTTAAATTTGATGAAGTTCAGTTTATCAATTTTTAATTTTATGTGTTGTGCTTTTGGTGCCATGTCTAAGAACTCTTTGGTCTAGGTCACAAGGCTTTCTCCTATTTTTCAAAAGTAAACTTTTTTATTCTGGAATAATTTTAGGTTTATAAAAAAGATAGTACAGACTGTTCTGGCATATCCCTCATCCAGTTTCCCCTACTGCTAACAGCTTTTATTATCATGGTACATGTGTCAAAATTGAGAAACCAATAATGATGGTACATTATTTTAACTAAACTTAATTTAACTAGTTTTTCCACTAATTTTCATTTTCTGTTCCAGGCTTCAGTCCAGGATACCATATTGCATTTACTCATTATGTCTCAGTCTCTGGTCTCTGAACGTTTCTCAGTCTTTCCTTCTTTTTGGCACCTTGACAGATATTTTGTAGAATATCACTCAATTTGGGTTTGTTTTATGTTTTTCTTATGAATATACTGGGGTTAGGAATTTTTGGAAAGAATACCACAGAGGCAAAGTGCCCTTTTCTTATCAGAAGGGTACATGCTATTGTGACTTAATAAATAGGTGATGTTAACTTTGATTATCTTGCCAATTCTCCTGTGTTTTATTATAAAAACTTTACTTTTTATATTTAGATCTATTTTCCTTTTCAAGTTAAGTTTTATATAAAGTATAAGGTTTAGGTCAAGGTTCTTTTTTTACATATAGATGTTCAGTTATTCCAACACTATTTATTGAAAAAAGTATCCGTTCTCCATTGAATTGCTTTTGCACCTTTGTCAAAAATAATTTGATTTCTGTGGGTGTATGTCTGGACACTCTTGATTTCTGTAGCTTTATAGTAAGTCTTAAAATCGGGTACTGTGATTCCTCCAACTTTGTTCTTCCTTTTCAAAGTTGTTTGGGCTATTCTGGCTCCTTTCTTTTACATTTTAGTATTGGTTTGTCTATATCTATGAGAAGTCCAACTGGGATTTTGATTGGAATTACCCTAAATCTGCAGTTCAGTTTGGGGAAAATTGGCATCTGTAGTATGCTTATTCTTCCATTTTATGAACATGGTAGGTCTATCCACTATTTAAGTCTTTCTAGATTCCTTTCATCAGTATCTTATAGTTTTCAGTATACAGATACTGTAAACATTTCATTAGTTTTATACCTAATTATTGCTTTTTTTCAAAATGGAGCTATTGTACTGGTATTTTTTTTTTTTTTTTTTGTCCTTTTTTGAGACCGGCCGCACCGCACTCAGCCAGTGAGCGCTGTGAGTGCACCTGTCATCCCCATATAGGATCCGAACCCGTGGCGGGAGCGCTGCTGCGCTCCCAGCACCGCACTCTCCCGAGTGCGCCACGGGCTCGGCCCTGTAAAGGTATTTTAAAATTTTTCATTTCCAGTTGTTTATTGCTAGTATGTAGTTTCTAGGTGTATGTAGTTTTATAGTTTCTTTGGGATTTTCTATGTAACAATTATATTGTCTGTGAATATGAATAGTTTTATTTCTTCTTTTCCAATCTTTTTTTTTTCCCCTTGCTTTTTAAAAATGGCTAAGGCTACTAGTAAAATATTGACTAGGAGTGGTGAATATAGTAGTTCATTTTGTGTTGCTATAACAGAATACCTTAGACTGGGTAATGTATAAAGGACAGAGGTTTATTTGGCTTACAATTCTGGGACAGCTGCATCTGGTGTAGGCCTCAGGCTGTTTCTACTCATGGTGGAAAGTGGCAAGCAGCTGGTGGGTACAAGCAGCTCACATGGCGAGCAGAAGCAAGAGAGAGAGA